CTATGTTGGGATTCCATCATGTTCCTCAGATCCTCTATTTTTTTAATCTGTGTCTTCTCTAGATTTATTAATCATGTCTTGCACCATGAGTACAATCTTTGCTGTTATCTGAGTAATTATTTCTGATTTCATTTTTCCCAGATCCACTTTTGTTGTCAGTTCAGAGAGTCCAGGTGGTTGAGTATCAGATTGTTCCATCTCATTTCCCTTTGTGGTTGCTGTAGGTGATCTGGAAGTCTGTTTTTGAGGCTTTTTTATGTGTCTTCTCTTTCCATGGGGTTGGGGGCTGCTTTTGGTGCCCGCTCGGCTCACCTTCTCTGACCTAGGAGTGTGGGATGGCGGCAGGGGAGCTTCCTTCCTGGTGCTGGGACCAGCTCACCTTCACAGTAGGTTATTTTTGATGTTTGTTCTTTCTGTTAGTATGAGAATAGTATTAGGCCTACCTTTATGTGTATAAAGTATATTAAGTTGTTAATGAATGCAAATTAAAACAACGCTGAGTTTTAATCTTACACCAGAAAGAATAGCTATTGTTAAGAAATCAAACAATAACAAATGCTGATGTGGCTGTGGGAAAAAAGGAACCGTTCTGTATTGTTGGTGGGAATGTAAACTACTACCACTACTGTGGAAATCAGTATGGAGATTCCTCAAAAAACCAAAAATTCCATTTGACCCAGCTATTCTCCTTCCAGGTGTCTTCCCAGAAGAGTTAAGAGCATCATATCACAGTGGTCCATGCATACTCGTGTTTATAGCAGCACAATTCGTAACAGCTAAGTCTTGGAAGCAGCCTAGCTGTTCATTAACAGATAAATGGATAAAGAAAACTTGGTATTTATACACCACAGAGTACATTTTCCCTGTATTTACTGGCATTTGTGCTTCTTCTGAGAAGTGTCTGTTCATTTCAATGGCCCATATTGTGATTGCATCTTTTATTTGGGGGTTCTAAGTTTTTTGAGTTCTTTATGTATTCTGCATGTTAGTCCTCTGAGGAACAGGTGGCAAACATTTTTCCCCCATTCTGTGGGTTGTGTCTTCACTCTGTTGGTGGTTTCCTTTTGTGTGCAGAAGCGTTTTAATTTGATATGATACCATTTGTTGATTCTTGGTACTATTTGTTGTGCATCGGGGATTCTATTCAGAAAGTCCTTGCCTTCACCTATGTCGTCAAGAGTTTTACCTATTCTGTCTTCCAGCAGATTAAGGGTTTGTGGTTTACCATTTAGTTCTTTGACTCACTTTGATTTGAATTCAGTGCACGGTGAGAGATATGGGTCTAGACTCAGTCTCCTGCA